CGGAACTAGCAGACCTTAGAATCCACCTCTTATATTAAAATTAACCTCTCACAGCAAGGTGTGCACATATCCGTTCCCCGTTTCTCTTCTAATATTTTGTTGTCCTCGTATCCATTCCTCATCCCTCTTCTAATTATCACCGTTGCCGTTGTCGCTTTGCTGTTCTTGTCGTCCTTGTTGCTCTTGTCGTCCTTGCTGTCTTTGTTTCTTTTGTCGTCCTTGCCATCTTTGTTGCCACGTGTACACACATGCTATGACTCGTTAGATTCCCACGTTGTAAAGTTAAAATTACTAACCTACGACAGCACCTCAGGTCTTTTTGAATAACCTCCAGCGGGCATTATGGGAGGTTGTTCGTAGCATCCATTTGCTATTATAAAGAACAAACCTGATAATAACTATGCTATTGAAGTCTGTTATTTAATAATGCAAAAAAAAAAAGAGCTACGCGTTTATTGATGATCTAAATAGGAATTGTGGGTCATGTGAATTCGACACCTGAATTAATGTCTACCCAATCAAAAAAATATATCTTATTAGTATCGAATCGGATAGATTGGAAATCACATGACCCTACATGACGTACCGGTATTGTATAAATTTGAGTTTGGAACTGGTTTTATTTTTCATATGTTAAACCCGGTTTTAATCGGTTTTAACATATGAAAAAATAAAACTGGTTCCAGAACTCTACTTTAAATTATAACATTAGCCATTTCGTGTGATTTCGAGACATCCGATCCGATACAAATGGTTAAGGTTAGGAAATTGCATTAAGGACGCAGAAAGCATTTGATATGTGATTTTGAGTTTAAAAAAATAAAATTGTTATTCATAATTTTCATATTACTTGATTCGGAGCGTCGAGGCATACAAAATAACTCGAGCTATTTTGAAGCTTTTAATATAATATATATTTATTTATAATGTTTTATTCATAAATACATAATATTTACATTCATAATATATATTTATGAATATTCAAAAAAATATATAAATTAATCATGATGGATGTTTTATAGAATAGGTGGGCAAACTCCGCAAAATCCGCAGCTCCGCGAAGTATCTATTAATGATTAACTAATCATTAACGAAGCTTATTTCTTATATTGCCCACCTATTCTTTAGAACATCCGTTATGAGGTAGATATTGGGTCAGCGTCATTTAGTGGCCATTTGATCGACTCCGATCACGGATCAAATGGCCGCTAAATGACCCATCACCTACTCTACCTCATAACAATATTATCCGGGAGTGTTCATTGATCATATTACTCATATTAATCCATAACGCCCTCATAACAATATTATCCGGGAGTGTTCATTGATCATATTATTCATATTAATCCATAACTCTAAATCCGCTAAATCGTTTATTCCACGGTTCATATTCATTTAAAAACAATGTATTTCATTGGTTTATTAACCACGAGGCTTATTTTATTTTATTTTTTATTTTATTTTTTTTTTATGGCAGCGACTTTCTGGCTGGCAACTCAAACGAATATAATATATAATCAAAAAAAGGAATTCCGGATCACTCCGAACTCAATATCTGGGCAATAAATATTGAAACTCATATGAAAAATTTTCTTTTTCATGTAATTATGTTTATATTTAATAAAACTCCGCGAGCGACTCCTTACCAATCATGATCATAAATTGCCGGATAACACGAATAACACCATTATTGGGCAATACGTTAATTTGACAAATGATTGGCTACACATGCCGCAAAGCGGCACGTGCTCATTTGCCAAATTACCGTTATTCGACAATTTTTGCCCAATAATGTATACATTACAAAATATATTTAATATTACTTATTAGAGGAGACATGTAGTGAAAAGGTCTTGTCCAAAAAAATACATCTTAAACAAAGGCTTTTTCTTCAGTTAGCCAATTACATATTGGGTTAATTGTATTTCTTGGCTTTTGTTTGCTAGGCACTTGTGGCCTGTACAATTTTATTTTAAAGTCATATTTAAGAACGTCATATTGTTTAATGTTTAAAAATTACAGATCACGAAGCTTTTTGCTCGATTCGAGAATTCGAGAACATAATTAAATTTAAAAAATTCGTGTTTAACTGGTTCGGGTTTCAAACAAAGACAATCGGAATTCAGGTAAATTGGATAGGCAGGATCACAAGAAATTCTAATTCTAGGAGAATTATTTATAGCATAATTAAGTAAATCACTTCTATTCGTGAAAATATTGTATAGATTTATGACGTACACGTACGTACGCATAGTAGTTTCTCTGTTCATGACAGATGACGAATCCTGTGATCCTGGGGCTTGTTGTTTGTAACTAAACCTGGTTATTTTACGCATAAGAATTATAGATGAAGTCATCTTCAACCGGTTTTTCCTATAAAAGACTAGCATTACTTAAATATTGAAATACTTAATACATTCTTTTTTTTTTTTAACTTTTTTTCCCTGTCAGGCTTTGTATCATAAACAAAAGATCAAAGTCGTCCGTACATTGTTAACACCTTAACGATGTATTGGGCTGGGTTATGGTCGACTCTGTATTTCATAATTATGTCTGTTGGTCCATTTTTATCACCAACACACACGTTAGATCCAGTAAATCAAGTTGGTGAATGTAAACCCTCACCGGCTTTACACGCCTTGATTTGGAAAAGCTCACATTGTCAAAGTGAAATAACTGAATTGATGCCTCCCACTAATTCAGTACAGTCAACAAGTTACAACGCTGTTTTCGAGAAAAATGACGGCAATTATGAGAGAAAGATTCACGAACCTGGTGACCCTACACCGGTATCTTCAGATAATTCTGACACTAAACCAAATTCGATATTATCATTTGATGAATGGAGAGCTCAACAAGAAAAAGATGGGCATACTGCGGCTGAATCAAAAACAAGGTCAAAAAAACGTGTTGGAAATTCTCAAAATGATCCCGCATTAATGGATTCAATTGATGGGGAGGATTATATGGGTTTTGATAATCCTGATTCTATGTTTGATAATTCTGATTCCGGAGGTTTGATTTCACAATATGAAAACCCGGCTTCCAAGTTAAAGGAAAAGTTTAATTTTGCTTCGTTCGATTGTGGTGCTTTAGTGTTAAAATCAAACCCAGAAGCAAAAGGTGCTGTTTCGCTTCTTTACGAAAGTAAAGATTCTTATGTCTTAAATAAATGTGCGACCACGAAATTTATCATACTGCAATTATGTGAAGATATTCTGATAGAATCTTTGGCCATGGCAAATTTCGAATTCTTTTCTTCAACATTCAAAGACTTTAAAATATCTATTAGTAAATGGTATCCTGCTAAGGAATGGAAAGTTATAGGCGAATATAGAGCAAAAAACTCAAGGGAACTACAGGTTTGTACAATTTTTGTTTGGTATTATTGGTATTGCAATACCTGTTTATTTTTATATTCATTGATATATCTCTGATGATAGATATTTGAGGTTAAAGATCCAATAATGTTTGCAAAGTATCTTCGTATTGATTTTTTGACTCACTATGGACATCAGTATTATTGTCCCGTAAGTTTGCTTCGGATTCATGGTTCAAATGAATATGAAAAGTGGAAAAGTGAAAAAGAAGAGATTGAAAAGATTGAAAACCAACTTAAAGAATCTCAAAGTCAAGAAATTGTATCACCGTCTAAATCTTCTCATGACATCGATATTGACGGAATTAATTCAAATGATGACAATTCTAGCCTTTTAATATCAACCACATCTGAGCAGCTTAATTCAAAAGATTCGATAGAAGAGTTGCCGAGAAAGTTGAAAAGTCATCCAGGATCAACAGTGCATTCATCCGATTCGAGCATCAATGATAAGACTAATGTCGAAAAAAACTCTGTACCCTTAACGTCTATTGACGTGTGTCCAGCGAACGATATTCATAGGTTGTTTCAATACAAATCTTGCTACATTACACTTCCTCTAATCGAGCAATATTACCAACCAAACCATATATACTCGGACGAATCTCTACTACTCCCACAAGTATGTTTAATTGATATGTGTCCACTAGTTGTGACCGAATCCGATCTAATATCAATGGAAGATGTATATAGTTTCATCGAATTTAATGAAAATAGGAAGATGCATATAACAGGTTTGGGAACAAAGTCGATACACCGTTTACCATCATCAACTACACAATCTACGCAGAAACCATCATCAACATTAAAGACTTTCAAGGATGAAGCCGGTGATACTTTCGTACCTTCTTCATATCTAGATGGTAGTAGACATTCGAATGGTGGAGGACAAGATAGTATTTTTAAAACTATTATGACGCGTCTCAGTAAACTCGAACATGATACGGACTTATCTAACCGTTATATAAGAAATATGCTTAAAGAAACTTTAGAAAGCTTGGATACGTCACAATCACAGCATATAATGTCTATATGGAATCAGATCAATGAAACAGTGGGAAGTTTGGTGAGTACTTGACTATTATAAAATTTATTATAGGAGCAGAAATATTTATTTCCCCAACTACGATCCAACTACGCTTCTATTAAACCTGGTTTAACGTAATTTCTTATACTGTCATGACTAAAAGGGTATCTACCCTCTTAAATCATATAAAACATGGATAGCTATTCTAGTTACGGCTATGCCGTATATATTATTTCATGTTTTAATGTTCGCACCTTTAGTCACAGCAATATTTCTACAGATATAAAATTTACACTTTTTTTGTGATTCAACTTTTTTATGAAATTATTTATTAGAAAAACGGATATGAACGGTTGGTAATAGAATCAATTACAGAAATTAAGGCCACGCAAAGTCGCCATAACGAGGAATTAAGGAATGTCACATCAGATTTACATCATCTAGTAACAGAGGTTGGTCTAAAGGCTCGCAAAATTATTGATTCACTATCTACCTTTTTTTTTTTTTGGCTTTATCTAATTTTATCTTATTAGGTTGCCTTTTTTAAACGTCTTGGACTTGGATTTATTATTATATTTTTAATATTGATTGGTATTAATTATGACTTGGCAAATATACGAAGCTCAATATTAGCTTTTCATACCTCAATGAACGAGTTTTCAATACAAAATTATAGGAAGATCCGGTCATCAGTAAAATAGTATTCAACAAAACTTTGAACAGGACTATGTAATATAAAGACTTTTCAAAATCTTATAATTGGTACAAAAATATTTAATGTACTGTATGTAAAAAAAAAAATTATATAAATAATATAGATATTTTGTTATATATATATATTTAAGACAATATTATTTAGCTTATTTATATAATATTAAGATTTAATTGTTAATGTTGGGTTGTACAGTTTTAGGACATTTATTGAAATTAAAAATTTAAAAAAATTTAAAAATTTATTTTTTTTATTTATTAATTTAAGGTCAAAGTTAATATTTGGTTCTCATGTTCACGTCACTTGTATTCATCAAAAATTCATATAATTTCAAATAACATCTTGTCTTTTAATTTGATATTGAAAATATAACCCGTAAAAATAGTAAATCTAAAGTTTCTCTTTCAGATTTACGTTTGTTATTTGGTGAAATATTAAAGGTGGTTTCTCAAATTTCGGACTAAAAATCAATTTTTTCTTGGTAATATGCAATTTCAACCAATAATAATCGCGACACGTGATTAGGAATATAGGTATGTGTATAGGTATG